TTGATTTCTAATTGTATTTCAGTGAATTAGACAATGTAGTTTATATATTATCACTTTCTTCTTGTTTCTACTGGCTTTGTAGTCTTATGTGAGGATAATATTATGATTGTTCCAAGTGTACTTAAATAGAATATATAACATGCTATTATTGGGTATACACTTCTATATGTTTTGTATGTCAGTGGATTAAGCTAACAATTGCTGTGGAAGGCATGTTAAAATCTCCAACTATGGTTGCTATTTGTCAATTCTTCCTTATAATTAAGTATATCTTCACCTTTTGTATTTTAGGGCTATATTGTTAAGTGCATATGAGTTCAGAATAGCTATATGGCTATATGTAGTGATCCTCTTTATATATATTTTTAAATATATAAAATTGGTTTAATATGTTATTAAAGCTATGCCAGCTTTCTTTTAGTTAATAGGTTCCTCTTACATTTTCCATCCCTTATAAGCTTTCTCTGTTTCTGAATTGTTCTCATGGTTTCCTGTAGTTTTTTAAGCCTTTTTAAAATAGCTGACTTAAATGTTGTGTAGTGACCCTAACATCTGGGCTTCCTAGAAGACAGTTTCTTATTAATTTCTTTTTATCTACCAGTATATGAACCACATTTTCTCATTTCTTTGCATACTTTGTAATTCTTTATTGAAAACTGAACATTTTGAATATTATAAAGTGGCTAATCTGGGAATCAGATTTTCTCTCCTTCACAGAATTTGTTATCTCTGTTTATTGTGTGTTATATTGTAGTTATTTGGACATTTAGTGACTTTTCTAAACCTTAACTTTAAAAATTTATTAATTTTTTTGGATGGGGTCTTGCTACATAGCCTAGGCTGAACTTGAACTCCTGGACTGAAGTGATCTTCTTGCTTCAGTCTTCTGAGTAACTGGGAATATAGGTGCATACCAATATGACTGGCTCCTAAACTTTTTATGTGACACTGTATTCTTTTTCTTTTATTAGCTTAATAATTAGCTAGTGATTTGATAGAGTCCCTTAAATGTCTAGAAACAAACCAAAAAATACTCTCCTGGTCTTTACAGATTAGTATTGTGATGGGGAACTCCTTCAACACTTAGCCAGGCTATTTGCAACTTGTAGTTTTTGCTAAAAGCTTAGAGTCTTGGCTCAGCACCCATAGCTCAGTGGTTAGGGTGCCGGCCACATAAACTGGGGCTTGAGGATTCGAACCTGGCCTTGGCCTTCTAAACAACAAGGACAACAACAACAACAAAAATAGCCAGGCATTGTGGCAGGCACCTGTATTCCCAGATACTTGGGAGGCTGAGGCAAGAGAATCACTTAACCCCAAGAGTTTGAGGTTGCTGCAAGCTGTGATACCACCGCACTCTTCCAAGGGTGACACAGTGAGACTCTGTCTCTACACACACACACCCAAAAGTTTAGTGTCTTCTCAGGTCTTTTCTGAGCATGTGTCCAGTCTAGGAGGTGTGTGGCCTCCTAGATTCCCTAATATATGTAGAAACTTTTCAAAGTTCTTATTCATCTATGTATCTCCTTTCCCAGATTTCTGGTCTGTTTACTGCTTCTTGCCTCATCTGTTTTTCTTTGCCCCAAGTGGCTGAGCCTAGTACATTGCCTTTAAATGATTTTAACAAATGCTGCCTAGGAGGCTGTTTCATCTGAGGTTTTAAGGCAGGTGAAACAAAGGCAAGTCCCTGGGCCAATCTCTCAGGCAGCCATCCAGACAAATCAAAACAAACACACAAGCAAAATTCTTTGACAACAAAATCTGTATTGTTCTCTCTGCCACTAGCAGGCTTCACCAGGAATGTGGGCTGCTGTGTTCATGGCCATTGCTAAGCTGGGGAGCAAGGAATGTCAGGCAGGTAAGTTAAAATGGATAATGCTCTTACCAAGATTCAGCCCCTTTTTCCCTACTAAGCATTCCACTGGTTGTTCTAAGTTTTTGATTAGATTCCAAAGTTCTGAAAAAGTTGGTTCTGATAGGTTTTGCCAGTTTACTCACTGCTATAGTGGAGGGACAAAATTTTGCACTTCCGTTCAGTGCCATTTTCAGTGGCATCACTCTCATTAAATCTAGAAGGTTCTTAGTCATTGTTACTTTGAATATTTCCTCTCCTCCATTCTCTTGACAACTTAAAAAAAAAAAAGTTATGGGGGAGGCGGTGCCTATGGCTCAGTGGATGGGGTGCTGACCCCATATACTGAGGATGGTGGGTTGGAACCCGGCCCTGGCCAAACTGCAACAAAAAAAAAGCCGGGCGTTGGGGTGGGTGCCTGTAGTCCCAGCTACTCAGGAGGCTGAGGCAAGAGAATCACCTAAGGCCAGGAGTTGGAAGTTGCTGTGAGCTGTGACACATTCTACTGAGGGGGATAAAGTGAGACTCTGTCTCTAAAAAAAAAAAAAAAAAGTTTATGGGGTCTATTTGTGTTGTCCAGGCTGGAGTGTAGTGGTTATTCACAGTTGCAGTCATAGCACATTACGGCTTTGATCTTCTGGACTCAACTGATCCTCCTGCCTCAACCTCTGGAGTAGTGGCACCACAGGAATGCACCAAAGTGCCTGGCTTCTTGACAACTCTTGATGGATGTTCTTACTCCTTATTCATTTTTCCTTTTTTTAAATTGAGACACTCACTTTGTCATCCCCTTGGTAGAGTGCCATGATGTCATAGCTCACAGCAACCTCCAACTCTTGGGCTTAAGTGATTCTCTTGCCCCAGCTTCCCCAAGTAGCTAGGACTACAGGTGCCTGCTACAATGCCTGGCTATTTTTATTTTTTGTTTTATTTTGCAGGCCCTGGCTAGGTTCAAACCCACCAGCCCCAGTGCATCTTACTTCTTATTCTATATCTCAACCTCTCTCTTTCTTATTTTCTCTTTTAGTGCTGTGTTCTTGGTAATTTCTCCACACCTTTCAGTTCATAAATTCTCTCCTGTTCCTGATCTACTTTTGCACTCATCTATTGATATTGTTATTTCAATAACTATATTTTCTATTCTAGACATTGTATTTCGTACTTTCGAAACAATTGTCACTTCTGTCCTCATCCTCACAGTATCTTCTTTTCTTAGAGATTTTACTTATGTTTGTAATCATTTAAAATATATTTATTATTATTTTCAGATAGCTCTTCTATTACCTCATATTCTCAGGATTTTACTCCTCCCATTTGTATGTTTACTAATTCTTGATTCTTAGTCATGGAGATTTCTTTTTTTTTTTTTTTAAAAAGAAGCATTTTGCAGTTTTGAATTGTTAGTCTGTTTTTGACAAGGTTTCCATCCACCTACCCACATAAGAATCTCTTCATTCCTAAATTGTGATTTTATACTTGTTTCCTTTAGGAATCCCAAGGATATCTTCAGAATATTATCAGATGGGGATCAATTTTTATGCTAATTCCCAGGCGTGGAGGTTTCTAGACTATAGGTAGCCAAAATGCAAACTTGAAAACTGCACAAAGTCAAGTCTCAGGTTTTTATTTCTTGAGGAAGGCTCCCCCCATAGTCCCTCTCAAAGTTCAGACAGAAATGAACATGATTTCTTGTTCTATTCTGTTGGGGACAAGTGTATGTCTTTTCTGTCTATCTTTTCCCTAAGGGAGCAGTCTTTCCAGGATGCCAGCTTTATGTAGGGTTCTCAGTTCGAAATCTCCTCCTTGCTTGGGATTGATGCCTCATCTACTGACTTGAAAGTGCCTGAAAACCCATACTGAGGTTCCTGGGACAATACCTCATGGGCCATTCCTACCCACACTTTGCAGCTTGTGTGATCACCACCTAGTCCCCATTTCTGACACCTGTGTGTTTCCCTTTCTTTTTGCCATCTCAGCCATTCACTTAAAGCAATACTAGTTATATTTCCCTTAGGTAAGGATAGCAGGAAGATTTTCATGGTTCATTGGTTTTTCATCTTGCTGGAACTACAAGTATCATCCTAGGCTCCTTGACTAGGAACTTGTCCTCTACCTATCCTTTTAATTTGTCCTCTACTTGTCTCCTTTCTAAGAGTCCTTAGACTCTTTTGACCCTCTTCTCCTTTCTCCTTGTACTGGAAGTTATTGCCTACCCCACTGAGATCTATGGATTCCTGGACCCCAATAAGGAAGGCAGAACAGAATGTACCGACAAAGTTGGGTTTGAGTTGTTTTTCTGCCACTTACTAGCTGGGTGGGGCAAGTTAGTTGGCCATTCTGAGCCAAATTCCTCAGGTGTAAGTGCTGGAATAGTGAGCAGAGGGTTTGGAGGCAGGCTGTAAATGTGTGATGAACAAGAGGACCTGGGGTTCTGGGCCCTGGAGTGTTCATTGCCTGGCTGAGGGCTAGGTGGGTATGCGTTGTTAACACACAGATGATGATGAGTAGGGATTCAAGTCCTTGAGTCCTCAAGATTAAATGTTAACCCCACAAGGGATTATTGCTGTCCTCATGTTATGGATGAGGAAACAGGGGGCTGGGAGTGGTCCAGTAGCTTGCCTCGCTCTGTCTTACTCCACTGGACAACTGCTTTGGGCTGAACATTCTTCTAAACTAAACATCCTTTATAGGGATAATCACTGGAGACCTAAGGCTGCTTTAGAAGTAATTTTTTAAAAACCCAGCTCATTTTGTCTTTGAGTTTTGGGAGACTGATTATTTCTTCTTTGAATTCTGGGAATGAGGAACCTTCTGGTGTGATGTGCCCAATTGGGTGGGAGCTGGCACAGGGGTTGGGGGAACAATTGATTGCTGTACCTTCTTTTCCCTCCCTCTAAGAAGAATAACTCAGGTCCTCTTTGTTTGATCATCAGGTAGATGAGAGTTCCCTACTTTCATCCCAACACACAGGCAGGATTTTATGGAGAATTTTCTGGCTTCCTACCCCTCTGCTGCCCTGCTGCCCCTGCCTGGGCTGCCCAGGACCTGGGCAAGGCATGTTTCTCTCTGTTCAGTCACTTTCCAGGTGCCAAGACACTGAAGTGGACAGCACAGAGGCTGAAGACATTCCCTACCACCCCTCACTTACAGAAATGGGCCACAGGATGAAAGGGATGTATCTATTGATGGCAAAGGTGTAGAGGATGATGAATGAGGTGAAGATGGCTATCTCCATTTTGTTGACGAGAAGCAAGACTGGGTGCACTGGAAGAAAGTAGAACAGCATTGCCGTCCCTATGAGGCAGCCCTACAGGGAGACATAACACCTGAGCCAGCAGCAAAATGCTCTCACAGACTCCGGAGCCTCTCGGAGGACTCCTGGAGCCTGCTCCTCCTCTCCCCCACCCTTGGTTTTGGACCCTCACCCAGGGATACCATTCCAGCTTACCAAACTCAGAATCTTGACCTCGGCGTGCCCCATGCCCCAGAACTCTTTATTGCTGTCCTTGAATTCCCACCAATAGCGGCGACATCCCGTCCTTGTGCCCACTCGGTCCTTGGGCTGCTCTAACGTTTCCTTTCCGGGTTCCTGGGGCTCTACCTTCTTGGCCTCCGCAGGCTTGGCCTCTGCAGGCTTGGCCTCTGCAGGCTTGGCCTCCGCAGGCTTGGCCTCCGCAGGCTCGGCCTCCTCAGGCTTGGCCTCCGCAGGCTCGGCCTCCTCAGGCTTGGCCTCCTCAGGTTTGGGCTCCTCAGGTTTGGGCTCTTCAGGTTTGGGCTCTTCAGGTTTGGGCCCCGGTGCTGGTGGTGGAGCCTTTGCCTTTGCCTTTGCCGGTTTCTTTTCCTTTTTTGGCCCCTTGCCCTTTCCCTTTGGCGCCTTAGCCCCACCTTTGCCTTTTTTACCCTTGTCACCACCTTTGGCTTTAGGCGCCATGGTTTGGTTGGAGTCCTTGGCTTCTCACGGCAGGCCTAGCCTGTCCTGCTGTCTCTGGACAGGGCCGGCCCTCCAGAGAGCCCGGTGTCCACCGGACTGCTCGGAGGCCGCGCCCAGCTAACCGCCGGGATCAGCCAAGCAAACGCCCGCGCCTTCTCCGCGTGCCCGCCTGCCTCGCGGGCTCATCTACCCACGGTGGGGCCAGAATCTCCCACCCTCTCTGCGGAGCCCCCACCAGGTCCCACCTATGTGTGGGTCTCCCCTCCGGGTCCTAGCGAAGCCTCACGAGGGGCCTCAGGTCTGTAGCCGCTGCTCCTGCCTTCAGGCAGGGTTTGCTGGAACCCAGGGTCGCCGCCCTCACCACCTCCTCCTCTGGGCACTGCGATCCGAGGTCTGCAGGCACAAGGCCGTGCACGGGAAAATATAAAGCGACGTTTACACAAGGCAACGCGAGGAAGCAGAAGTGTTCCCGACTTAGCAGCCCTGATTTTATGGTCACATGTAGGCTGGAATGGGTGACAGCACGTGATCTCAGGGTGGGCGTGGAGGGCGTGCTTTGACACAGAAACGGGTAGCCGAGAGAGTGCAGGGGGCTGGTTGCAGCGCGGGCATCAGCTGGGCGCCTGGTTGGGGGAGCTCTCAGCGTTTGGTTTTGACTCCCAGGAATCTTTTCATGTTATTCCTCATCATCTGGGTGACCACACATGCATCGATGCCACACACGATTGCCGCTGTGAGACACAGGGACTGTCAGACACAAGACCATATGCGGGAAGGAAAGGTGGGGTTATTTTGCAGCTCAGCAGCAACCTCTGGAACCCATCCCTACCCAAGGTGAGAGCTGCCGGCAGCCTCCTGTTTCCTCTGACTCTCCTCTACTCTCTTGATGTCTGCCCAGCTGTCTGCTGCTGGCCCACACTGCCTCTCAGAGAAAGAGATTTTGGAAATAGTGTGTTTTGTTGCCAGTAGTGGCTTTGCCTCTGAGGCACCAGGAAAGGTCCTGGAAAGTGCACTGGCTTTAGAAGGCTCTAGGTAGGGGTGTGGTCCTGAGGAGGCCTCTCAGTGGAAAGGACTCTAGGGCTATGTTTAAAAGGTCAGGAAGGAGTTCCCCATGGGACCAAATGGGAGAAGAACTTTAGGTCCCGGACTGGGGTCTCCCAAAAATCTGGTGTGGTCAATACCTCTGGGACCACAGATGAGGCAGCAGAATTGAGGATGGGGCAGTGCAGGATCAGGGACTCTCTCACTTGAAGAAGTCAAGGGTGAGACTCAGAAGACCAGCTTGTGGTGGCTATTGGGAGAATGGAAGGCAAAGCAGGCTGGAGGCAGGGAGACAACTTGGGGGTGTGGGGGCTGGTGCTATCTGGATAAGAGTTGGCAGAGATCTAGGGGTGGGAACCTCTAGCAGTAGGAGGCTGGGTTGCTGAGTTGCTGACCTGGGTCCTTGGCACCCAACATTCCCTGGTGCTCTGGGACTCTTTCCAGCCTTGGATATTTCTCTTTATGGTCATTTGATTCCTGGCCGTTTCCTTAACTTTTCCTGGGTTAGTCTTGCCCCAGCTTCTCTACAGGCAAGAGACTCTATCCTTAGCACTTAGCTCAGGCCTGGCACAATCCAATAGTATTAACAAATCAGTATCAGTAAATATTGATTATGGAATGAATTCAAAGAACTTAAACTCTTTTGTTTTTCTGGATTAATTTTTGTCCCCTTTGTTTTTCTTGAACCAACGTCCTACCTCCCCACCTCCCCTGTCTTCCAAGCATTTGATCTGTCATTTCTTGTGTTCTTCCATATGATGAGGGTTTGAATCCCATTTTGTCCCAGCTTTGGGACCCAGAGCAAAGTATTTAACCTGACTTCCTATATCTATAACAATGAGAAATGTAAAGATTAAATCAAAATGTGGTAGGATTTCTACCACCTCACAGGTGGTAGGTTTCTTTCTTCCTTCTTGAATAGGCTGGGTTACTCTCTTTTGACAATGCATTTCCCCACGCCCCTGCAGTCCCTCTTTTCATCTGTCTTTTGTAGGGTGAGAGACAGGGTCTTGCTCTGTCACCCAGGCTGGAGTGCAGTGATATGATTGTGGGCTCAAGCTTCCCTCCTGCCTCAGTCTCCCCAAGTAACTGGGACTACAAGCACATGCCATTATGCCTGGCTAGTTTTATTATTTTTTGTATAGATGGGATGTTGCTTCAAGCAATCCTCCTGCCTTGGCCTCCAAAAGTGCTAGGATTACAGGCATGAGCTACCATGCCTGACACAGGTCTTTAAAATAGGATTCTCTAGTCCAGAACAGTAAAATCCTATTTATAGACAAAACTACCTTGCTTAACATTTCAAAAATAATATGGACAGTTCTCCAGAGGGGTTCAGCAGACTCTTGTTTTCATAACTATTTGGAAAATGCATATTAGAGTTCAGATTTTCATGAGCTTAGAATGTGTGCAACTTGATATCATCTGAAGAAGTCAGTGCAGAAGGAAAAGGGGTGGCAGTAGGAACTTTGTTTTCTTAATGACAAAATGATGGTCTGCCAGTTTCCCTTTTCAGAGACTTGGAATATTGTTCTTAAATGGAATCATGAAAGCATTTACTTACCCCTCCAACATAGAATAAATGCCTTCTGTTCTTTTCTTGCATTGCAAAGGAAGCAACTACTAAGAGGAAGACAGATGAAATGATACTGTTGATACAATCCTGTAACACAGAATTGAACATTATCAACTTTACATGAAAATATAATTGCACAAAATATTTAAATTGGTCATTCAACTACCCATCTAAGGATGGATGCCTTTTAAAAACTTCGTTTGATTAAGAGGAACCCTTAGAGGCATAATTCTTACATCTTCCAAAGATATGAGTTTGTGTGATTTTAAGGTCTTGTATAGGACTTTGTCTGCAGAAAATGGGTTTATTTTCATTAAAGAATACGATTGGGGGGGAAAAAAAACGCTGACAACTTTTCCATGAGGTTTTTCTTAACAGGCATAGGAAAGTGAGCATGAAAATATCTAGTGGTTTAGGAGCCCAGCCCAAATAGGCCCTCTATAAATATATATATTTTAAGAGTCATGCATTTTTACATTAATGAAAATTATGCATTCTATTCTTTACCACATTTGTTTAAATATAAAAATGAAATTTCAGATGAGCACTTCACGGATTTCATTCTACTCTCAAATCTGCAGGTAAAATCAATTCTCTAGAAGTTAGATCACATTTATTCAGGGACTTCACAGGTCCCAAGGCCACACAAATCCATCTGAGGAGCAGGCTAATATTCAGCAGTAAATGGTTGTGCCATTGACTTTTGCTCTTCCCTGAGACATGGCCAGAATGAAGCCTGCCCAACATCTGCTGGCTCATTGTGTCCTTCCTTCTGCATATCAGTTGGATTTCAGTACTGGGTTTTCTATTGCTGGCCCAGTCTGCTTCTCTGTGTGCTGAAATAAAGGGTCAGGATGAGTGGGTGGAGGTGCCCCCTAAGTGAGTGAGGCTGAACGTCAGTAGCAGGGCAGCGATGGAAGAGCGTGTACTCAACACTTCAGTGGCACCAGTATATGCAGAGGGGCAAAGCCCAGAGTGATGAAACTATGATATGGTTCAGAACCTAATTTGAACATTTAAATCTTTACGTCTTGATGGCCTGAGTTGGTACCAGTAGGTCTGGTGCATAGCAAGGAGCCATCCAGTCCATAGTATCACCATGGCTCTAAGGGAAGTTCTCAATGTGCCAAGGATTTCCTAGTCATTATCTCACTTAACCCTCAAAAAGCAGCCGCCTGAGTCAATAGTGCTATGATCCTCATTTTACAGAGGATATAATGGAGGCTTAGAGGGTTTTTGAAAGTTCCCTAAGGTTGAATAACTGGGAAAGAGTGGAATTAGAACTCAATTTGCTATTGCCTCCCATCAGGGGCACCAAAATGAGGAAATGAACTATTACCCTATGCTAGAAGTGAACCATCTAATCCATCTTTGGCATTTTTTGTGGCATTGGTCTGGGGGGGGGGTCAAAACAGTATGGCACAAATAATTTGAGAGTAATTTATGTTGATGAACTCTTTTGGCCTGCCAATTCCTAGATGTATGACCTGGGGCATGTTTGATCACCCTCTGCCAACTTGCTGCTTTTTACTATGGGGACAATGATTAGGATGCATTGGGTTGAACTATAATGAATATGAAAGGCTCTGATAACACAGCTAGCATCTAGTAGATAGTAGGAGTGCATCAGAATACAGATTGATGATATCTGCCCTAAAAGTATGCATAGAGAACAAGTGCCTGCAAACTCTAGGTATTCTTACTGAGATTAGTGAGCAAGAGCCCTATCTTAGAATGGGACTTGACTCTTGGAAGGGCAGTGATGCCTAATGTTTTGGCACCTGATGGATGACTGGTGAAGGTTGGAAGGAAGTCCCAGATGGGTTCTGCAGGCTGAGTGAACGGTCTGCCTAAAGTAGGCAGGCCAGACTGAGGCAGGTACAATGGTTTGAAGCTTTGCAGAAAGCTTGGCACCTGAGGATCGTGTAAACAAAGCTACTCAAACGTGCAAATGATGAGAAGCAGAATGTAAACTTTCAAAAATCAGAATTAAGGCCTCTTTTTTTTTTCTTTAATCGGGCCCAGGCAAGATTCAAATTTGCCTTACCTTGGAAGTGAAAACAATATAACCTAAAAATTTGTACCCTCATATTAAATTGACATAAAAAGTAATAAATAAAAAATATTTTTTATTGATGCGAAAGAATGAACTCTTTGTTATAGCAAAAAAAAAAAAAATCAAAGCTATGGTCCTAGATCCTTGAGAATATGAGTGCAACAAATTAATTTAGTAATAAGAATATAGTCACAGCTGAGTATGCCTAGTTAATCTTTGACTCATTGGACTACTGAATGTTATAGTTATGTTCTGGTTCTTACTTACAAACAAATACTCCCTTTAACTGTCCCTTGGAGCTAAGGTTTGCCTCATACCTAACATGTCTATTGCAGCTCACATTTATTGAGCACTTACTATGTGTCATGCATTGTGCCAAGATGTTAACGTGTGATCTCATTTGATTCTCACAACAAACTCACATTATCTCCGATTTACAGATGGGTAACTTGCCAAGGGTTGCTCAGCCAGTAAATAGCTATAACCTTTGGCAGTTTGACTTGAGTGCCCAGGGGACTTCTTCCTGACTAACCCTCCTCCCTTTTGCCTTAGACACAGATCCCCTTATTGGCTTCTTCTGGACAGGGAGACAGATATCCCTGATGGCTGAGTTAAAATTGCAGCTGACTCTGGCCATGTGCAGGACTTATGCTTTCTCCATAAATGCAATCATTACACATTATCTTTTTCTTTCTGCCTAAATACCCTATTGACTCAAGTCGCCTCATCTGACTAAAATGAGAAATGTTTGCTACTTGACTATAATTTTTC